GGGTTGGGTTGGGTTTTACCTCGGGTTTTTTTCAAAGATAAACCCATGGGTTTGGGTTTGGGTTTGGCAAAACCCGACCCAACCCGACCCATTGCCATCCCTAACTGGACGTCTCCCGGTGTACGGGACCCTAGAATGGGCTTGGGCCCAAGGTGAGACGCTTTGTGGTGGGCTTGGGCCCGTATTAGGCGGGTTAATACTAGACCCAACATTTGCCCCTTTGCTTCTTGTATTCTGTAAGAATGGAATGAGTAAAATAATGCGTTAAGGTGTATTAACTTGCCTTACTTGCGAGTCCGCACGATGCGGTTTTGCCCCTTGCGAGTCCCAGGTGATGGACGCCTCCCGATGGACGAGACGCCACCCAGTGATGGACGCCCCCTGGCGGATTGGACGCTCGCGAGTCCGAACGATGCGGTTTGCCCCTTGTGCGGCCATCGTCTTAGCTTCTTTGTTTAGCATTCAATGTCTTGAGTTAGAGCTCTCAGGTCGTTTGAGATTTCCCCACTAGCTCATTGCGGAGCGTGCTAATATGTAGGCCGTAACTCTGAGCTGTATGCGTTAAGCTGTTGGACCGCGAGATGGGCATGAGCTTGTATGCATGTTAAGCGTGAGTTGTTGGCTGAATATTAGGCGTTAGCTATGTGCTAGGGAGGGCGGCCCCCACGACTTGAGAGTTTTAACTCAAGACGACAGTTGTTTTTTGAAGATGTCACACCTTCTGGGAGGCGGGATCGTGTTTCTAGCTATGCCGATGTCGCACCTACTGAGAAGCGGAATCGGGCTTCTACGTAGAGGGGAAGCATCGCTCAGGGAGCGGGATGAAGTTTTGTATCTGCGAAAGATGTGAGTGACTAGTGCCCCGTATTTTTAGAGCACAAACAGAAGTATAGTATGTGTGAAATATGTCATAGTATTTAAGTATTTCGTAAACGGAAGTACACAGCTAGATTGTGGTAGAAGCAGTCGAGAACCGCTTTGAATAAGGGCTGCTGCCGAGAGAGAACACATGGCTGCCCTGTGGCTTACTGGTTTATGCGTCTTCTGTTGATTTGTAGGTTGCTGGTTCGAAGCTTACTAGAAGCGTTTTGGCCTTTTTTTTTTCCTTCTTAATGAAGACTTGCATTTGATCGGGCCTTCGCGGGCGTGATCTCGGAATGCGGGCTTTGTGGCCCTGAATGGAGGGGTGTCGGACTAGAGTGGCGGTTGCTTGGCGCTCCTGACTTGAAGCGGCCTGCTCGGGATGTGGCTTCGTTGCGGTATTGGTCTTCTTCGGCGGGCTGGATATTCTTGGGCCGTCGGAGGCGGGTTGACGTTGGCGGGCTCAAATGCGAAGCGGGAATGCTCTGCTGGTTGAAGCGGTTGATATTAATAAGAGTAGCTCTTTGATTCATAGAGCAGCCTTGTAGTGCAGTGGTGTGCGCTTTGACTTGCTGAGACGGGGCGCGGGTTCGAATCTTAACAAGCGCATATAGTTATTCTTTTTTAGTAAGTAGCTTCCTGTCTGCCTTTGGACTTGAAGTGGATGTTGACGAGAGTGGGGGCGTGGGCCTCTGACGCTTGGGTCGTGCTTGATCCACTGATGGGGGTCGGATGGGCTTCGCTTTGGAGGGATGAAAGGCGGTCTTATGTGGGCAGCGATGGTAGGCGGGCCTGCGTTTGCTCTGAGGCGGGCCGGATCTGCATTGCAGAAGTGTAGAGATGTTTGTGAACTTGGGGGGTGAGGAGATCTTGTCGATTTGGGCCTCGGCGAGCGGGCTAGGGTAGTGAAACCCTTCCAGCAGGAGGGAGAAAGTGGAGATTGCCTCGGTAACTCCCCCAACTCCTCTTTCTGACAAAAACTCATTTTCTGAAAAAGTAAAGTGATCTTTTCTCTACTTTTTCAATCTGCAGTCTTTTGTTGCATGACCCGCCTTTTTGCAAATTATGCAACTCGAGCCGGTGTAGCCCGATCTTTGTTGTTGAAAATTTTGTCTGTTGTTTCCTCTGTAATTGGATCTTCCTCTTCCTCATCCTTGTGAGTTTCCTCCTCTCTAGCCTTGCTCCGATTTGGCATATTTCTTTTCCGTCATGTTGACTTTTGACGAGAAAGCTTGCTCCAATGGCGGTTTGGTGAAGCGGCTCATTCTTTGCTCGTGTGCTACAAGTGAGCCCATCAACTCGCTCATTGGTAGATTTGCCAAATCTTTGGTTTCTTCTATCACAGCAGCAATATGCTCAAACTTTGATGATAAACTGCGGTGAATTCTCTCCACATTTTTTCTCTTCCATGACGTCACCGGTGGCTTTGATCTGGTTGACTGTCTCCGCCACACGCGAATGGAAGTCTTTGATAGTGTCATCATCAAGTTGTCGAACTGTCGCCATACACTTTGTCGCCTGATGGAGATCAACTTTTCAGAACCTTGAAATTGTGTACGCAAGACATCCCAAGCTTCTTTGGCCTTTTTGACGCCATAGATTCCCGGGTAAATTGATTTGCTCACTGCTTGCTGAATGATTCTCAAGGCGCTTGCATTTTGCCTGGCATTCTCCTTGTACTCCTTTGTCTGCTTGCCTGATCGTTTCTTCGAGTCTTCATCATCTTCCTGTGGACTTTCATAGCCATCTTGGACTATATCCCACAGTCTTGAGAGATGAAAATTGGCTCCATTTGAGCACTCCAGTACTCGTACAATTCACCATCGAAAATGGGAATTTGATTTGAAGAGGTAGCAAACATGGTATGTGATGAAGTTGTTGCCATGAGTTTTTGAGTAGATTTGGGTAGGCTAGAAAAATGGGGATTTAAGAGGATAGAAGGGTATTTGCTCTGATACCAAATTTGTTGGGGATTAGCGGAATTGTGGTAGAAATTAGGATCAACACAAAGAAAACTTTTGGTGTTTAATCAATCAATTTAAGAAACACTCAAACAAACAAGGCCTTATTATTTTGGCTCTTGCTATACATACACGCATGGGAGACTTCTTTCTCTTCTTTTTGTTTTGTGTCTCTCTGACCATTCTTCTGACAAACCCATACAACATATATAATGGAAATGGAAAACAAAAGAAATCATAACTCACCACTCATGCATGAACGTAAATGAGAAAGGACATGATAGTTATTGTGTCCCATACATTATTTTCTCATCTATTGAATCCATTTGCTGGCCATGTGAGGTGCTTGCATAATGCACCGGTTGTTGAGTCTTCTTGTCATCAATCAACTTGGCCTCTCATGTCATAACCAACTTGCATAATTTGATAGCTAGTTCTAACTAATGAGATAATGTATGTCTCCTTTTGTTTATGATAATGTGGCATAGTTGGGTGGTGATAATTACCTATTGCAAATTACCATTTGACAAATTTAGTGGTTGCGGAAAGCAATGACTTCGTGGGAGAAGATGAAGACGAATTTGATTTTCTGGATGACGATGGCGATTATGACGACGACGACGTCGAGGACGGGGAGATGTTGCTTCCGCTTGAGAAGATGCAGAAATGGCTCGAGAGGAAGCCCCGTGGGTTTGGTGAAGGGAAAGTGTTGGGTCTAGTATTAACCCGCCTAATACGGGTCCAAACCCACCACAAAGCGTCTCACCTTGGGCCCAAGCCCATTCTAGGGTCCATTACACCGGGAGGCGTCCAGTCCATCTGGGGGGCGTCCCTCAGCGGGAGGCGTCCAGCCTACCCGGGGGCGTCCATTCACCGGAAGGCGTCCATCGACGGGAGGCGACCAGTCTACCGGGGGCGTCCATGACAACGGGAGGCGTCCACAGGATGCCTCCTACTCCTATATAAGGAGACCAGACCCTCCAAGCAAAAGGACTTCTCTCCCTTCCCTCACTTTACCACTGATGGTTCTCTCTCTAAACCCTATCTCTCTCTACATTTCCCTACACTCTATCATATATCTATTCTAACTTGAACGTCGGAGTGTAGATCACGGGGGCCGCCCCCGACTCTCCACAGGTTTCTTCCACTCCCGAGGAGATCAGACGATGGAGTTCGGATCGAGGTTCCACACTAATCCCCCGGTACTAATCCGGGTCAAACATTTTGGCGCCCACCGTGGGTCATGATTTGGTACTCTTCTCGTTTGTTATCTAAAGGAGGAGAGGAAATCGATCCTTTCTCCACTAATTACCACCGACGGCTCCGACCGCAAAATCCCATCAGAGAATTGAAAAAAATCAGTCTCACTTCACCAACTATATGCGAGAGCTGCGCCTAGAAGATTCTGAAAAAAAAAAACCCCGGCGATATGTCACTGCCTGATCTCCGACGACGGAAAGAACCGATGGCCGCCGTGGGCGGGTACCCACGGGCCGAGTTTACCTAAACCCAAACCCAACCCGGTGAATAGTGAACGGGTTTAAACCCAAACCCGGCCCAAAACTTGTTAACACAGATTTTACCCGCGTTGACCGGGTTGGGTCGGGTGGGTACCCGTGGGTTCGGGTTTTCTTGCCATCCCTACGTCCAGTCCATCTGGGCGGCGTCCATCAGCGGGAGGCGTCCAGCCTACCGGGAGGCGTCCATGACAACGGGAGGCGTCCACAGGATGCCTCCTACTCCTATATAAGGAGGCCAGACCCTCCAAGTAAAAGGACTTCTCTCCCTTCCCTCACTTTACCACTGATGGTTCTCTCTCTAAACCCTATCTCTCTCTACATTTCCCTACACTCTATCATATATCTATTCTAACTTGAACGTCGGAGTGTAGATCACGGGGGCCGCCCCCGACTCTCCACAGGTTTCTTCCACTCCCGAGGAGATCAGACGATAGAGTCCGGATCGAGGTTCCACACTAATCCCCCGGTACTAATCCGTGTCAAACAGAAAGTCTACGACACATCTGTTGAAGATAAGCTGATGGAAGCAATTGTTCAGAGCCAAATGGCTCAAGCTGCCAATGTTAATAACATGAAGAATAACCCTATCAAGCCCAGTCCCAAGGTAGAGGATTCGAAGAAGAAAGGTCAGTGCTGTCTGTAAAGTTCGGATTTAGCGATGAATCTGAATACCCTTTTCTGTGCTACTGCCGCTGCCGAAGCTGTACCAAGTGGAGTGCGGGTGCTTTTGACCAACCTCCCAAAGAAGAAGAACGTTGAAAGAGATTTGAGGTCAGCTTTCAAGGAATTCCGCGGAATCGTTGATATCGTTCCTGCTGTTTCTGGGAACAAGAAGACAAAGGACCCTGTTTGCAAAGGGTTTGCTTATGTTGATTTTAAGTCCGAGGTGGATGCAACCAGGTACTGAATTTTTACTTCCATGCCATGGTCTTTGCAATGCAGCTGAACCACTACCCAAATCCTGGAATGGAGTAAAATCATAGAAAAATGTTCCGAGGATTAACAGTTGTTTGTTTCTGGTTTGATCTTTGTGAATGTTTGTTGGCAGGTTTGTGCAACAGTTCTGTGGAGAGAGCATAGCGTTTGGTAAGATTCAGAAGCAGATAAAATGCAGGATTCAAAACTCGGGCTCAAGCACTACATCTGGTGATGAATTGACCGACATGGATGTGGATGGTGCGGCCTATGAAGATGAAAAGTTTGATGAAGAAGAAGAAGATGATAATAACAATGAGATCTCAGAAACACTAAAGGCAAGTGCAATAGAGAGCATGAAATCTCTCAGCGTATCAGAGTTGAATATTACTGAAAACAAGAAAAACTCATGAAAGTCGGTCATCATCTTCGCCAAAGAAGAAGGGAACTAAGAAGATCAGTAGCGCAAGTTCTAAAAAGAAAGTGCAGAAGGTTCCCAAGTTAGAGATTCCAGAATCGGCAAAAAGATTATTGTGCTGTGCTTTCTGAAACACTATACCTGCTGACCTGCTGCTGGACGTTTGCTTTTGGTCACTTTCTCACCCCTTCTCTAACTCCATTTTGCCATTTTCCTCTCTGCAGGCTAAAGGTCAGGGACAAGGCCGTGCTGACTGGTGTCTTCGCCAAATACGGGTTGCAAGCTGCGGTCGCTACAAAGTACAATACAAAAAAGACCTTTAGCGACGAACTTTTTGCGACGGATAGGTGATTTGTCACGTAAGTTCAGTTTTCTGCTACAGTAATTTTTATGGTCGTCCATTGTCATTGTTTACCACATGCATGATGTGAGATACTACATACTAGCTTTAGCGACGATACTTTACCTATTGGCGACGAAATATTTCGTCGCATAGCATTTGTTAAGATTGAGCGACGAAATGGATTAGTCGGGCATTGAATTGGCCGAATGGACCAAGTTCTGGTGCTTTTGTTGCAAAGACTCACAGAGTATAATCGTTGCTGAAACTTTTGGTAAATTGCAAGTTTGTAATACAATTTCACGTTTGTCACTAAAATTAATTTATTCTATTCGTCGTCACTCAATTTTCTGTTACCCTTCGTCAAATTTCGTTAACACCGTCAGTTTATTACTGACGTGGCTAACAGAAATGTCTAGTCATCCACTTCAAAACAAAAAATTTCAAAACCCCACCCGCCACGTCAGAAAAACCAACCCTTTACCCAACCCTAGCCGGACCCGACCCTATTCTCTCCTCTCGCCTCTCTTCCCTTTCGTAAACTGCCGGATTGAGAAGCCGCCGTCAATCTGGGTTGCTCTAGGAGATGTGGGGGTGGCGCAGTCGTACGCGAGGATCTTTTCAGGAACTCGATTGCTACTAGAGAAGTTTATTCACTGGAGGGTGAGGTTAGGGTTTCCGAGGAGTGCAGGGCTGGCGATGTGATTACGATTGAGATGGGAGAGAGCCGATTGCTCAATCACACAACCTAAAAGGAGTTCCAAGTTGCAGCCAATTGACGATATCGGTCCGGCTATTGAGGCTTCGGAACCCTTTTGCTTCCTCGGTTCCGCCCAATCTATAAAGAACCCAATCCGATGCGTCAACATTAACCTCCAACAACATCTTCTTCCTTTCTGCCTGGTGGGTTTGTGGCCATTAATTCTGGGTTTGCTCGCCGATGCCCCACTTTCACAAGATCTTCTTCTCTTCCGCTCCACCTTTTTCATTTCTCCGCCAATAGAACAACGCTAGTCTCCCCTAGGTTTGCCAGAAACCGGAGTTTCTTGTTGACGCTGGAAGATTTGAGTTCAAGAGACGGGGCGTCTGGATCAAATGAAGCGAAGGTCAGAGCGCTCCGGCGAAACTGGGGGCTGCTCGACCACGCCGAAGTCACGCCAAGAGGGAGTCGAAGCCATTGGACTTGGGTCACGGGTTACCAGTAATGGGTTGGGTGTTTATGATGCGGCAGGTCGGATTAAATTTTTTTTTAGTTAAATTCGGCTAACTCAGTATTTATGTTAGTCACGTCAGCAAATAATTGACGGCGGAGAGTGACCAAACTTGGACTGTGTAGCTAATTTGAGTGAGTACAAATGATATATATTAATTTTAGTGCCAACCGTAGAATTATTTATTAATTCTAGTGACCAAACTTGCAATTTACCCCTGAAACTTTGATACAATTTCGACGAGTGTTATCTAGCTGAAGAGAGTTAGAAAACAACGTCATATTACCCTTGTCAATGGGGAGTGGATAGGGTGCTAATACTTAACACATTCATTACGGATATTATAGTATTTTCGCTTCTCCCTTCCCTTCTCCTCCCCTTCCATTTACGTAGCTTTTATAGGTTTCATTTATAAATTACAGTTTTGGTACTTGAACTTAATAGGTATTATTATTTAGGACCTAAAATTATTTATTTTACATTCAAGTCTTAAAAATATCGATGAAAAGTTATATATTAGTACCTGAAAGTTTTGTCCTTACATATTGATACCCAAACTTTTTCAAATTTACAAATAGGTCCACTACTTGTGGTATGATTTATAAACTTGTGGCATGCTTTGTGAACTTGTACGCTTTGTGGTTGTGGCATGTTGGAGGAGGTTGTGACATGCTTTGTGGTTCTGGTATGCTTTGAGGTTGTGGCATGCTTTGAGGAGGTTGTAGCATGCTTTGAGGTTGTGGCATGCTTGGAGGAGGTTGTGGCATGCTTCGTGGTCCCCCTTACTTCCTTCCTCCCTTTCCCCAATTTTTCATAATATACCAAGCGTGTCCCTCCTTCCCCTTCTCCCTCATTAATTGAGGTCAACTCATTTAAATGAAAAAGCCATCCAAACGAAATGTTCAGATTGGCTGGAGTTAGTATTAACATCATACTAACAAAACAAGTGTTAGCACCCTATCCTCTCCCTTGTCAATGTGGATTTCTTTTGCCGAGGTTTAGAATTTTTTTGACCCCTTGAGGGACCGTAAAGCGACACACTTTGGATTTAAATTTTTTTATATTAATTGGACAAACTAAAATCTATTAGAGGATAAAAGAGAGCGCTCGTTCTCTTCTCCCAATCCAGTAAAGCTAACTTTTACTCGATCCGTTGGTCGGATGAATTCATCTTATTATCATTACTTCATGATAATTATTTCATTCATATTTTCAAATGATTTGAGGGATTCTCAATAGTTTGTTAAAGAGTAGAAAATCTTTGTATTACTTGATAATTATGATATAGATAATAATTAGTTCATTTGCCATTGATTATTTGAGATTGGGGTGAACATTGGATGGTTGAACCCACAAATCAAGTAATCCACCACAAATCCGTCCTTCATTCCTTCCATCGATTTGGAATTGTAATTTGCAACTATAGGTTAAAAAGCTAGTTAGGCTCACAATACCTAGGCGAATGAGGTGCTAGGCAAGAATAAAATGTTTGCCCTATGCCTAGTGCCTTCTTCAACCTAAGTTATTATCAGGCTTAGATCGATCATGTTTATCAGTTGAATATTTTATAATTTGTGGACAACTACCAATACCAATATTGTAAAATGAATGATTCACCTAATTTATGAATTATGCGTTATTTAGTTTGAAAATTTCTTTCATTTTAAGTTTAATTTGAAATTTTGTGATCAAATCGAATATATATTATAAACCCACCAAATCTGCCCAACCACCCATCACCCGCAATCACCCATTCCACCCACATATAATGCTTGGTTGGGTGTGGGTCATTTTCCCCTTCACCCCCCATATAGTGGGTGGTTCCAAACCCACCCAAATATGCATAAAATCACCCAAAGGTTAGATGCCGATTGGATCTACCAATTCAATCTACGAATCCACCAATCTAATCTCATTTGATCTACCAATCCATTTAATCTAATCTAGAAATCCACCAACCTACGAATTCAATACATTTATCACCTATAAATGTAATGGTCATCTTTGTTTTTGGTTAGTTTACTGTGGTTTATATATTCTGCTACTCTTTTGTTTTTGGGTTTAATCTCTCATGTCATTTTCTCTCTCCACTTTTAGTAAATTTAAGATTGCAGAAAGTAGAAGAGACACGAATTTATGTGGTTTTCGGAGATTGAGGTTAGTCTATAAACAATAATTTGGCCTAGTAATAATATCATTATTTAGAACATGGAGGTTCCAAATGGACAAGAAAACCGTCGACAGTGCCACGGAGTGAAAGCAAGAGCAGGGATTTCAATTTTCAACACTAGCGCAGGGCCCAGCCAGTTGGCGGGAGAGTATGGATCGTTTGGCCAGAGAGTTTGATATTTAAATAGAGATTCTATTCAACTTAGAGGTATTAGTGTGATAAGCAAGTAATTCATTTTTATCTATGCATATATTGTAAAGGCTTAGGTGAATGTTTTCTTTTGGGAGTTGCCAATGAATAATTTAGAGAAATAAGTTCATCTAATTAAATACCAAACAACATCTAAAAACATGTATAAAATAAAATGTAACACCCCGGTATTTTAGATTTGGGTTCGACCATATATAATGATCAGTTGGACTAACGGTTCCGTACCAAGAGTTGAAACCGCGGATTAGGAATAATAATAATAATTATTATTATTATATTATTACAATTATTATAAAATAAAAATTAAAAAAAGGAAGCAGAGTGGGGGCGGCCTCCACTTCCACCTCTCCCTAGTACCTCCACAAACCCTCACGTATTATTTGCCCCCAGCCCAAAACCGCCGCACAAAACCCTTCCTCCAATTTTCCCCTGCCCATCACTCTCGCTCGCGCTATCCATCAAGCAGCACCAGGTATCTCTCCCTCGCGAACCAAGCAGCAACAGCGGAAGCAGTTAGCGAGGAGAAAGCGGCGGGATTTTTGTGCAAGAAGGAGAAGAAGAAAGGAAAAGAGGGAGCGCTTTCGCATGTGCCCGACCTCGACCCTGATTCCACAACCCATCCTTCTCGTGTCGCTACCGTTTGTGGTGAGGTTTGAGGGTTCTATCATCGTTCGACAGGAAGATCAACATTCCGAGTCATCCAATCTAGTCCTAGGCACGTTCTAGAGGTAAGAGAACTCGATCCCTTTGAGTTAGATCGATCGATTTGGTGATTTTTCAAGAGGGTGCAATCCTGGATTTTTAGCAACAGACGTTATTGGCTTTTAGTGACAGATTTTGGGTGGTCACTTAAGCTGCTGAGAATTTGCAGAAACGTGTTTTAACATATTTAAATTGTTTCGAATCTCTTCCTGTAATTTCTTTATGGATTTAGCAATTTTATAAATTGAGGAACGTTTAGGAGATGCCTTTAATTTAATTTGGGGATATTTTAAGATGTATTACTATTTTTAGAAATTTACCGAATGCTCATTTTAATTAAATAAAAGTAAAGCCGAGATATTTTCAGAGGTTTGATTATTTTCCATGGTATTTGTTCTCATGATTGACATGGGAAAATTATTATTCGAATTTTTAAGAAGGTTCAACTTAGGTGAAAAATTTGTCCAAGACAAAAATAATTAGGAAAAATGGTCGGTTTTGAAGGGATTATTTCTAGAAAATTTTTAAAGGGTATTAAGGGACCTTTGGAGCGAGGCTCGAGGGCTGGATTTTGAGGAGATAATGTTCTAGTGATTCAAAAGGGGTTTTAAATCGAGAAAAGTCGTATAAGAAAATGGATTCTTATTAATAGGTTTCCCCAAGATAATCGGGCTAAGGAAGCGTTTCTTCGAGGAAGGAATGGGGGAGTCACCTTTTCGAGGTGAGTGTAAAGGGGGTAATATCTCATTCGTAGTCTTTTAATTTACGCCTTTTGTTTCAAGCTATTATTAAGTTAGTTTTGAGTAATGCACGATATGTGTGTGAGGCATTCCACCGCCTGTAAGGGTGGAGGCACGCGTTGTGCGCGGTTGGGTCACTACTAGACGGCGAGACGTAACGCAGTAGTTGACCGGGCATGAACTGGACGGCGAGACATAACGCAATGTCATTGCCGAGTTTGGGTATGCAACCGAACGACAAGACGTAACGCGGTTGACATACTAGGGTAGGGACACCTGACGACGAGACGTAACGCTGTGGCCCTAGTGTTGGTGTCTATGGATTACGAATATAAGTAAGGAAATTCAAGAGATAAGATAGAAGTAGAGATCTCTTATAGACTGTTTGATAACAAAGTATAAAGGATGAAAGCAAGAATGGCTTTTGTCTAAGTCAAGAACCCAAATAATGTGTTTAGTAAGGAGTTTCTTAGGATGAAGACCTTAGGAAGTAACGACGAGACTGATCACTTCTCACTCACCAGGTGCAAAGAGGGGAAGATGACGCATCCATCAAGAGGAGGTTACCCGAGGAGAGCAGCCGCAACAAACCTGAAGATGTCAACTGGATCTGGGTAACGAGATGGGACCTACCATTATATCTGTCTTTAGTTTCATGTCTTAATGAG